TCATTGACTTCCATGGCTGAGAACACGAGATTGCGAGATTTGAAAAATGCGGTGAACGCTCATGCTGATGACATTCATCGCATTGGTGAAACAATGGAATTGCGTTATCAAGAGTAAAATATTAGTATGGAACAGATCCAGGCTTCCTTGGCTTTACTTTTGTAAAACAATTCTCACCTTCATGGAAGTTCTTCGAACAATGGTTCTCCGCTGGGTACTTCAATGAATGTTGCTTTTCCGATCAAGGATATTTCGTTGGGATTTCCGCATTTTGATGGGACAACAGCGGTGCTTGAATGGATCTTTAAGGATGAGAAATTTTTACTTACCATAACACTACAGATGACTCTAGGGTGGATGTTGCTGCAATGCATTTCGATAAAGAGGTAGTTCCATGGTTTTAGATGCTTCATAAAATGGTTATGGTAAATACATGGTTAGCATTGACTAGAGCGTTAGAATCACAATTTGGTCCTTCCCCATTTGATTGTCCCATGGCAGATATGTTTAAATTGCAACAGTTAGGTTCGGTCTCGGATTATTACATGAAATTTATATCATTGGCCAATCGATCTGTTGGTCTTACTGATGAAGCCTTGCTGAATTGCTTTTTAAGTGGTTTACATGTTGAAATTAAACTTGATGTTCTTGCGATGTCTCCTCCTACCTTGTTAAGGGTTGTGGCTTTAGCTAAATTGTTTGAAGACAAATATCTACCTGTGCCAAAAAATGTTACCAATAATTATATTCCGAGATATTCTCGTATTTCTTCAACTAGTCACAACTCTAATGTGCAATCTAAGCCTGCTTCTCCGACAAATTTACCTCCATTGTTACCTACTCCTCCAGGACCTCCATTGAGAAATTCTGCAATTAAGAAAATAAGTTCTGCTGAGATGAAACTTCGAAGAGAAAAAGGTTTATGTTATTTTTGTGATGATAAATTTTCCTTTAATCATAAATGTCCAAAAGGCAATTCATGTTTTTACAGTTAGAAGCGGATGAGTGTGATAACACTGTTGCTACTAATGAGTCCAAATCTATTACTGAGATTGAGGCCCATGAGGCTGATGATCATCATTTATCTTTAAATGCATTAAAAGGTGGGGGTGGAGTTGGCACTATACGATTTATGGCTTATATTGATAAAATGCCAGTCTCAGTTCTAGTTGATGGGGGCAGTTCTGATAATTTCTTGCAGCCCAAGGTTGCTAAGTTTATGAAATTACCTGTTGAACTTGCTACCTTATTTAAGGTAATGGTTGGGAATGGGAACTATATGACTGTTGAGGGTGTTATACAGGATCTTACACTGCAAGCTCAAGGGAATACATTTAAATTCCCAGTATTCTTATTGTCGATCTCTGGCGCTGATTTGATTCTTGGGGCTAGCTGGTTAAAGACTATAGGACCTCATATAGCTGATTATGGTGAATTACAACTGAAATTTTAGTGGAATGGTAAGTTTACTACCTTGAAGGAAGATTCTAATGTTTCACCTAATCATGCTCAACTCAATCATATTCGAAGAATGATTCATACAGATTCTATTGCTGAGGTGTATAGTATGCAGTTAATAAAAGATAACTGTCATTCTTGTTCTCCTTTGGAACTACCTGTTGATATGGAGCCAGAGTTAGCTCTATTGTTACATACTTATAGTGTGGTATTCGACACTCCTACTACACTTCCTCCTCCAAGGTCTCATGATCATTCAATTCCTTTATTGGAAGGGTCACAGCCTATCAAAGTGAAGCCTTATAGATATCCGCATAGTCAAAAGGAAGAAATGGAAAAGCTGGTGGCAGGAATGTTGGATGAAGGCATTATTCGGCCAAGTAAGAGTCCTTTTTCTTCCCCAATTATTCTAGTAAAAAAAAAGGATGGGTCATGGAGGGTATGTACTGATTATAGGGCTTTGAATGCCATTACCATCAAAGTACATTTCCAATTCCAACGGTAGATGAATTAATTGATGAATTATATGGAGCGTCCTTCTTTTCAAAATTGGATTTAAGATCTGGATATCACCAGATTTTGCTTAATCCTGATGATAGGTTTAAAACTGTATTTAGAACCCATTTTGGTCATTACGAATGGTTGGTTATGCCCTTTGGGTTGACCAATGCACCTGCTACTTTTCAAAGCCTCATGAATGACATTTTTGCTGGATTATTAAGGAGGTTTGTATTGGTTTTCTTTGATGATATATTGATATATAGCACTACATGGAAGGATCATCTAAATCACTTAGAATTGGTTTTGCGTATTTTGAAACAACATCAATTGTATGATCGGTTCTCTAAATGTTCTTTTGGTGTTCAAAAGATCGATTACTTAGGTCACATACTTTCGGGTGATGGTGTTACCATGGACATTTCTAAATTAGAAGCTGTTCAACAATGGCCTCAGCCTGGTAATATCAAACAGTTAAGGGGATTTCTTGGACTTACTGGGTATTATAGAAGATTTGTTAAGTCATATGCTCAAATTGTCGCACCTTTAACAGATATACTAAAGAAAGATGCGTTCCAGTGGACCTCATTAGCTGCTGATGCTTTTAATCAATTGAAACAAGCCATGACTTCTGCTCCAATCTTAGCCATTCCAAATTTCCAAATTCCATTTGTCCTTGAAATCGATGCTTCTGGAACGGGCATAGGTGTTGTCCTCAGTCAAGACAAACATGCTATACCTACTTTTCAAAGAAACCCTCACATCGGATGCAGCAACAATCTGCTTACACTAGAGAATTCTATGTTATTACTGAAGCAATTGCTAAGTTCCGACATTACCTTTTGGGTCATAAGTTCATTATCAAGACTGATCAGAAAAGTTTAAAAGAGTTATTAAATCAGTCCCTACAAACGCCTGAACAACAACAATGGTTACCTAAATTCTTAGGTTATGATTTTACCATCCAGTATAATCCTGGTAAGGAAAATGTTCCAGCATATGCTCTTTCCAAAAGTTTTTTTATGGCTTTCTCTGAACCTGTTGCTAATTGGTCTCATCATTTAATTGAATTCACACAAAAGGATGACAAATGGCTTAAACTCTATCAAGATTGTTTGTTGGGAAAATTACATTCAGCAAAATATAGTGTTCATGAGGGGTTATTGTTGTTCAAAAATAGAATTGTATTGCCAGAAGTTATGCACTTATTACAACAGGTGATGCTGGAATTTCACAGTTCTAAAATGGGTGGACATGTTGGGGTTAGAAGGACAACAACAAGGATAGCTGCTCAATTTTATTGGCCTCATATGAGGAACGATATTAGAAAGTTTGTGAATGAGTGTCTTGTTTGCCAACAAGCCAAAAATGATCATATGGTCCCTACTGGCTTAATGCAACCCTTGCCCATTCCTCATCAAATTTGGGAAGAAATAGCTATGGATTTTATTACTAATTTGCCTGCATCCCAAGGCTTTACCACTATCTTTGTAGTCATTAATAGACTGTCTAAGTTTGGTCACTTCATTCCTATGAAATCAGATTTTAATAGCAAATCAGTTGCTGAAGCTTTTATTTCCAATATTGTCAAGATCCATGGGTTCCCTAAATCTATTATTTCTGATAGAGATCGAGTATTCATTGGTGCCTTTTGGAAATACTTGTTCAAGGCTCAAGGGACTACCTTAGCAATGAGTTCATCTTATCATCCACAATCTGATGGACAAACAGAGAACCTTAACAAGACTCTTGAAATGTACTTAAGATGCTTCGTCTTTGATAATCCTAAAAGTTGGGTCTCTATGTTACCATGGGCTCAATTCTGGTATAATACCTCCCTCCATCACAGTTTAGGAATGACTCCTTTTCAAGCAGTATTTGGCAGACCTCCTCCAGTTGTTGTTCGTTATGAATCTCAAGCTTCAGATCCTATTTCCTTACAAGAAACACTGAAAGCTAGGGATCACTTGCTTACTCAACTAAGACAACATTTGTTAAAATCTCAAAATTATATGAAGCAACAGGCTGATAAGAAAAGACGTGATGTACAACTGCAAGTGGGTGATTTTGTATTGGTTAAGTTGCAACCATACAGGCAACATTCTGTAGTACTAAGAAAGCATGTTAAGCTTGGGTTAAGGTTCTTTGGACCTTTTGAAGTTTTGCAAAAAATTGGTTTTGTAGCTTACAAACTCCAACTTCCCGAATCAGCAAGAATACACCTTGTATTTCATGTTTCATTACTTAAGAAATTTCATGGCAATACTTCTCAGCAGTATTTGCCCCTTCCATTAACTTCCAGTGAGTTGGGACCAATAATTCAAACTGTAACAGTGCTTGGTGCTCGAATGATACAGCATGATAATGGTTTAGTCCCTCAGATTTTAATTCAATGGGATGTGACAGATTCTTCAGATGCCACGTGGGAGAATTTGAGTGATATTCAAAGTTCTTATCCTCATTTCAACCTTGAGGACAAGGTTGTTCTTGATGAGAGGGTAATGTAACGTGCATAAGGAAGAGACAGCCGATGGGAGAGTTAGTTGAAGCATTTGGACACGTGGCAAATGATACAGGCATAGTGGGGATCATGCGCAGCACTCGTGAAAGGAAACAAAATTACAAATAGAAGGATTACAAATGGAATTGAGGACGAAAAAATAGTACACACTCTCCTCTGATAAATTTTTTTTCTATCTGGCTTTTAGAATCCTGATTCCCTCTTATCAAATTCCTTCCACTAAAAGATATTAATTCTTATTTTTCAGGTTTTCTTGCGTGCTCAGAGACTGGAATTTTATCGGTTAATGTTGATTTAGTTGTACTCTGTTTGCTGGATTTGACATTTCAATTACAAATTCAATAAAATCCATTTACATTTCAATCCCCCTTCAAGTGATTACGCGCAGAAACCCAGGATCTTCTGAACTCCCCAACATGACTCAATACTTTCCACTACCACCCTCTCACTTTTGGCAGACAGCCTTTGTTCCTTTTTCTCAGCCTATCTCCACCATTATACCACCATAAAATTTGTGCAACAGCTTCTCATATTTGCCACTACTAGAGGCCAAAGATGGAAGGACGCCAGCTCCAAATTCCACAGCCTACTTTGGAAAGACGAGTTGTTCTCATGGTTTATGCATACCATCAACTCTGACAAAAGTAGGTTAACAACGAGGAGGACTGGTCTAAGGGAATTTGAAGGCACAGGGAGGCATTGGCATAACACAGAAGTAACCAAGGCAACAAACTATTGGAAAAGCATGAAGAATTGCTCTACTTAATAATAGACCTTGTAGACCCCAAATCTTGCCCGGCCTCCAAATAAAGTCAGAAAGCTTCCTATTTGAAGACGGCGGGAGCTTAACAAGCCACTAGGAGAGACTATTAGGCTCCCGTACCAAGATAGGAAGGTTTTTTGGCCCAAAATAAAGTTTCTCGCCCTGAAGGGACGAGACCGCCGTCTGGGAATACCAGACCGCCGTCTCGTTTCAACGCCAGGACGAGACCGCCGTCTCGATTTTCCAGACGGCGGTCTCGACACTCGCAAAAACGAGACGGCGGTCTGGGTTTTCCAGACGGCGGTCTCGATTCTCGCCAAGTCGAGACGGCGGTCTGGATTTTCCAGACGGCGGTCTCGACCCCGTGACATGAGCGAGACGGCGGTCTCGAATTACGAGACGGCGGTCTCGACCCTGTCAGGCGAGAACGACGGTCTGGACCCTGACGGCGCAAAAAACTATAAATAGGGGCTCTCCCCCCCTCATTTCCACACAGAAAAAAACAAGAGCTCTCCCTTCTCTCTAGAATTTCTCTCTCTAAGAATCCCTCCGAGGCATTTCCGGAGCTTCTGAGTGTCTTTAGGCATATACAGAGTGTCCTAAATCTTCTTTAGAATCCCTCCGAGGCATTACCGGAGTTTCTGAGAGTTGTAGAGTGAAGGGTTGCCAAAACGCACCCTCTCTTTTTGTTATAAAGCTTGCTTTAGAGGTGCATATCCTCATTCTCTTTTTAAATTACTGCTATTTAAATTATGCAATAGAAGCTAGGGCAATGTAGTCACATATTTAAATACCGCATAATAAAAGGGTAAAAGCGCAATTTTCCAAGTTTAATTATTCGCAAATAGCCGGCCTATCATAGGGAACCTGAAAGGGGCGTCGTAAAGGGACTAATACTCCCTTTACACGTAACTAACTCCCTTACCCAACTCTGGTTCTAATGACCAAAGTTGGTTTTCGAAAACCAACGCCTTTTCAAAACCCCTTTTCCGATGTTTATGGTAAAAATATCGGTGGCGACTCCATAGAACCAAAAAATAAGTCCTTGGGTTAGCCCGGTTGTCGGACAACTCAAGGACACTTTTCGAAAACCTCGTCTCTAGGTTAGCCCGGTTATCGGACAACCTAAGGACGTTGTAACCACCAATAAAAAACGCGATAAAGAGTCGAAAAACCATTGCGTCGCTCCGACCGCACCCCCGTTTTCGGGGAGGCAGCGACAGATGGCGACTCCACTGGGGAAGCCTAGAGAGTTGATCCCATTTAGTGATGGGCTGGCTTAACAATAATTAAACCAAGAAAATAAGCGCTTTTACCCTGCCTTGTATTATAACATGTTTTATTGTTTGGCTTTTAATAAACTGTTGTTTGTTTATACTTACGCAATTGCTTGATATATAAATTGCACACAAGTCCCTTGCACACTACAGTTCCTCCTATACCCGGGGCAAGTGAGATAACCATAGGGAGTGGGTGGCAGGTACGGCTTCGTCGCAGTTAGGGCCTTGTGCCCACCAGCGTGATCGGAAACCACCACTCAAGGTGATAACCTTCCTCTTTTGGCAACAAGACCGACTCGGCCTTAGTGTTGAGCATGGTCGGACTAGCTGGAGAGTGGGGACCCTATAATGGGGGCACCTTGGGGGCCTTAGCCTGGTGAGAACAGTTAGAACCTACCCTAACCAATACACTTTTCTGCAGGAGAACCCTACCTCGTGATAAAAACGGAATCTCGCCTGTTCAGGGATGATTGAATTGTGTGTGCATATGTTTGTTGCATTTGTATGTTGCATAGCATAAACAAACAACAGAACAAAATCACAAAAAAATATTAGCCTGGTTTCAGGTTCTTTGTAAGCTAAGTAGCCACGCAGTTCCGACAGAAGAGATAAGGGACGATAAATATTTCTTTCGCATAAAGCCATATTTTATCTCGGACAGTCTGCCTTTTAGCTAGCCTGGTTTCAGGTTCTTTGCAAGCTAAGTAGCCACGCAGTTCCGACAGAAGAGATAAAAGGCTATAAAATAAACAAATAACAATAAAAATACAAACAAAAATTCACTTTTTCCAAAATTCACAAATAAGACCTGGTCCAAGAATATTGCATTCATAAAAACATTCATATAGATAGTTTATTTTTCCAAAAAAATAAATAAATGCAAAAACCATACATCATGTAGAAAAAACATGATAAAATAGCAAAATAAACACTCACATTCATACAATAAACATCATCTTCATCAAATCATACATTTTGGTTTTAGAAGATGGACGGTACAAGTAGACAAGTGGGGAAGGTGGACATTCTCCGAAGCCATACTGAGAAGCTAGAGCGGCTTAGTGCGACGATGCCACCAAAGGTCCAAACAGAGTTTGAAAAATTCTATGGAGGGATTTTGGACCTCCTAAAAGTCAGTGTCGATCAAGTCTTTCTCAGGGTACTGATTCATTTCTGGAACTCAAGTCTGCGGTGCTTTGAATTTCCGCAGTTCGACATGGTGCCCACCCTAGAGGAGTATGAAACCATGTTGAAATGGCCCAAATCAGCTGGGGTCCATATCCGCCATGAGGCATATACTCCTGCAAGCACAAGTCGCTGCCCTTATCCATCTACCGTACGGACAAAGTGCCCCGATAGGAAGAGGGAACACCCAGGGATGGAAAGTATCGATGTTAGAAGACCACCCGTCCTACCCGGGCCGAAAGGGCAGAGTGGGTGGCCTTCAATAAAACCCCGGCGCTATTAATCTTCTGAACAATCTTGTTCCCCTTCCAACTCGACACGGTTGACCACGCCGTCATGGACGCTTTCTTCGCTTGGGACGTGAATTCGAAGAGTCCCCTGCCCGCTATTCTTGCCGACACCTTGCTCTCGGTAGATTTCTGCCGACGTAAGCAAGGAAGAACACTCCGCCGTCGCTCTTCGTTACTTTATGTGTGGAGCATCACACATCTTTACGCCTCCAATCACATGGGGATATTCCCCGATCCTTTGAGAAGCTTCTCCAAGATCCCCTCCAGCCGACGTCTCGACCATAGAATGGAGGGACGAGCTAGAACAAAAGAATGCCAATCGCATATCTTGGGTCCGCCCTTGGTTCCGACCCGGCCCAGCTTCGTCGATGCGGGAGCCATCCGAACATACCCTTGATAGGACTCAGGGGTTGCATAGCCTACTCACCTAGAGTAGCTATGAGGCAACTTATGAGGACCCAAACTACTATCTCCCGAGGGGAACTCGAGGACCGTGCTTCTTTGGAGACCCATGCACAATGGCCAACTCACCGACCGTGAGGAAAGCGTGGGAGAAGCCAGCCTATATGGGAGACAGAGAGCTAGGGAGGGCTCGGTAACCGTCACCAAGTGATTATGAGGCATGGAGGAGAAGAAGAGAGATGGCCCGACCATCCACCACACCCGCTCCAATCGCCAACAACGAAGAGCTGTAGGCACAAGTCAATGCCTTGACCCGCAGGGTAGAGATAATGGGAGCCCGGATACGGTCCCTTGAGGAAAAAGAACAAGCCTCTATCCTCACGATTGATGGTCTACAGAGGCAAGGCAAGAAAAAGGATCATGAAATAGAGCGCCTCAAGGACCAATGTGCCGACGCTAACGAACAAGCTATCCGAGCGTCCAAATCCGCCGTAACCAGCTCGGATAGCCAACTCGCAGGAGATAACTCGCCAAAACAAGCACATCTTGAGGCGTAAGCGCTCAAGCAAGCTCAACGATCAAGGAGTTGTCGAACAACTCCTCCAAGCTCGGCTAGACCTCCGCCAAGAGCGAGAGAACAACGAAAACTCAGCCGAGGTATCTATGAGCTACGCATTAAGGAGAAAAGCGGGCTAGCTCAATATGACCAGGTGCTACAAGAAAAAGACCGAGTTGTTGCAAGGCTCGACGAACTAGAAGCCTTGGTCATACATCAAGAGGCGAAGATCAAGGACGCTCAGCAATACAGCGAAGAAATGAGCCAAGCGATCCATAAGCAAAGCGAAGCGCTCGCTCACCATGTCCGAGAAGCCGAAAGAGAATTACAAAGGAAACAAGACCCGCCTGTGGGTTTCTTTAGGTTTTTCCGCTTTTGCCAAAAGACGCTTCATAGTATGGAATAAGAGAATGTACACCTTTCAAAAGAATTAATAAAATCTTTTTCCTTATTTCACACTTGTCTACTTGCATGCATAAGCATTCATTTGCATATTTTGATTTCCCTCCTTCACGCTTAATAAATAAGATAATAAAAAGGAAGGATTAACTAACGTGTCTTCCAACCCGTAAGAATGGAGAGAAAGCCACTCCTAATAAAGCTCACCCCAACGGCCGAATCATCGCAAGAGGAAAGTAAACCTCGGTCGTTGGTCCTCAAAAATAAAGAAGAGGGGACAAGGACGCCAGTGCGACTTTTTATGCCACGTCCTTTCCCCTACGAGTCAGATAAGGCTGTACCGTGGAGATATGGGGAATCTTCACCAATAACAGAAGAAATAACAAACATAGCCGGCATTGGGGGAACAACTAGAAGTGGAAGAATCTACTCCCCCAAGGACACACAAGAAGATGTCCTCCAAAATAAAGGAAAAAATAAAAGGACCGAAGAAGAAAAAGAAAATAAGGAATCCAAGGAGGAGACAGAGGAATTACTCCAATTTATAAGACAAAGCGAGTATTCCATTATTGACCAGCTCAATCGCACACCTACAAAGATCATGTTGCTATCCTTGATAATGAGCTCGGAACCGCACCGAAATGCCCTGCTGAAGGTCTTGAGCGAGGCGCACGTACCTCATACCATATCCCAAGAGAAGGTCGAGAGGATCGTCTGGCCACATTACGGCAAGCGATCACCTTGCCTTCACAGAGGAAGAACTCCCTCTTGAAGGGTCAAAACACAACAAGCCCTTGCATATCTCAATCAAGTGCAAGGAGTACCTCATCGCCAAAGTTC